ATGAGGAATGACCATCAAGGATAGACGTGAGCATCCGATTAATCAAGAAGCAAGAAGTAAGCACCGCATCACTCCAAAAGGGTTTGGGAACATTCATGTGATGCATGAGGGATCGTGCTGTTTCCAAAAGATGACGATTCTTTCTCTCAGCCACCCCACTTTGTTGTGGGGTGTAGGTACATGAGGTCTGAAGTATAATGCCATGTTGGTCCAAGTATTCTTGAAATGATGAAGATAAATATTCACGGCCATTATCAGAACGAAAAATTTTAATGTGAACACCAAATTGATTGCGAATCTCAGCATAAAATTTTTGGAAGATGGTAAACAATTCACTTATTTCTTTCATTAAATAGAGCCATGTCATCCTTGAAAAATCATCAACAAAAATGACAAAATATCTATATCCATTGTATGACATCACTTTATAAGGACCCCAAACATCTGAATGAACCAAAGAAAAATGACTCAACGAAGGAACCAAGGATTTCAAAACTTTCAGCGAAGGATGACCAAATCAACAGTGCCACTAGAGAGGAGAGAGATGACTGGAGAATTGTTGATGTTCTTCCACCACCATCAAGATAATACAATCCACCGACTTCATGCCCTCCACCAATCTTCATCCCCATCTTGAAATCCTGAAAAACACACATAGAAGGGTAAAAAGTAATAGAGCAATTGAGTGACTTGGTCAACTTACTAACAAACATAAGGTTAAATGGAAATTTAGGGACATACAAAACTGAGGATAAAGATAAGGGGGTCAAGTTAATATTGTCAACACCACAAATCAAGGATGTGGAACTAGTAGTAAGGGTAAAAAATTGTGATGTTGAGCAATGAGAGGGAAAAAAACACATCTGGAGTTCCAGTCATGTGATCGGAGGCTCCAAAGTCAATAATCCAGGGATTGGGTGTGGATGCCAAACAAACCATACCTGAGTGTGCGAAAGTAGCCGTGTTCTGCTGAGATGTGGATTGGACAAACCTCTCATAATCATCACGAGGAACACTCACCATCTCCTTCTCGGGAACATATGTGGATGTAGGAGGCATCTGATCAGTTGAACGATTCTCCTGTCTGAAACCGGTGTCACTAGTTAGGGCATGATTGGCCCAAGTTGAGGGTGGACCATGCAAATCATAGCAATAATTAATGGTATGTCCATCCAAACCACAATGAGTACATCTCCTCGGACCTGAGCCACGTCCTCTGCCACGGGCTCCCCCTGAATCTCTACCTCCAGTACAACCACCACCACGGTTATATGTAGGTCCATCACCACCACTCCGGCCATATACTGGACCACTGCTACCACCACGGCCAGACTGAGCTCCTCGAGCTCCACCACTAACGCCACGACCCCTTGACACTGCAAAGGATGACCTATCAGAGACATTAGAGTTCTCAGTAGATCCAATGGAAGTCCTCTGGAGTCGAGCAAACACCTCTTCTAAGAAAGGGAGAGCTGACCCTCCTAGTATCTGAGCCCGCACTGGTTCATACTCAGATTTCAGCCCCACCAAAAATCGAGTCACATCAAGTTGTTCTCTCTGTTGTTGCTGAATTTTGACATCAGAAGGGAGGGGTGATAAACATTCAACTAATTATGAGTGTTTCTCATACTAGCAAAGAACTCCTCAAGACTCTGATTGCCCTGTTGCAGATTAAAGTATTCCTGATACAACTGATATACTCTGGTTGTATTGTTTTGACCAGAATACAACTTCTTAGCATTGTCCCACACATCTTTGGTAGTGTCAAGAAACATGAAATTTACACTAATCTTGGGTTCCATATCGTTCCATAACCACGTGATAATCTGTGCATCCTCTTGTTCCTAGTCTTCATACTCATGAGAATCAGTGGAGGGTTTCTCCTCCTTTATGTGTTTCACCTTCTTCTTTGCTTTCAGAAAAACTTCTACAGATTTAGCCCAAGGTACATAATTCTCTCCATTCAGTTTAATGGAGGTCATTTGAACATTCAAGTAGTCAGTAGGTATCATCACATTAGATTTGCTATCATTGTTATCTCCAATTGCTGAATTCTGTTATAACTGAATTCGCACACTACACACTACTTGATCACACTGATCACACTGGTTTCAACACTTGTTATTTCTGAAGGTTGCACTCTTTACACCACAAACCCTACCCTACGATTACCTGAAATCTCACCACTATATGAGAACCACTCCCCCTTCGAATCACACAAAAAGCAGCATAAACCCTAGCACACTACAGTCTGAAATCCCATCATACAATTTGAAACATACTTCCTATTTGATTCATAACAAAAATATGCATAGAAATCTCTTACCTCATCATCCAAAAAATAAACCACACAAGAAGAAAATCAGTCCACACAAGACACCCACTGCACCACATGAATCAGCCCTCTTCTCTTCATCGATTAGGAGAGGGCTTCTTAGAAACCACAGCAACCGACCATGAACAGCACAACTGGAGGCATCGAAACCTCCAAGGGATGAGGGTGACTACTCCTTTTCAGCCCTTTCCCTTATCTCCAATCGATGGCAGAAAAATCAAGAAAAAACCCTAGATTGAGTGCACAAAAAACAAAAATCTGGGCAGATCCGAGTTGCTTAGTTGTGCTCTGATACCATATTATAATTCAGCTTGCCTTTGAGTTATGTTAGTCTAATAACAGCCAAGAAGAGAGAAGAAGAAAGAAGAAAGAAAGAGAGAGAGAAAGGAGGAGAAAAGGATAGAAGAAAAGTCTGGTTCGAATAAGGGAAAAATCACTTCTCCCATTCGGCCAGACATGTTTTATATTACTAACATAATGGAAAAGACACATGTGCCCTTACTTAAGTGAGGGACACTAGTTCTAATATAATATTACAGATCAGCAACCTCAACATAAGTATAAAAACAAAAATACCCCTACACTAACACATAGGAACACTTTTTACATTATTGTCTTGTTCTAAATCATTAAACGAAGCTAAGAAACTAAGGTTATAGACAAAATAATATATTGTGAAGTTCTCCTATAAACCTTAAGATTCAAAACTACATGATAGAATGAGTTCAAACAAAAGTTAAATAGAAAATGCAAATGATGCTAATAGATCAACCAAATAATCTATTACACAAACAAAAACTAATATTGAATTTCATGTTTGAAATGAATATTGAGCTGGTTCAAAGTAGCAATTGTGTACATTAGGTGGGCAATAACAATTGCAACTCCATGGAAATTTCTTGTCACTAGACTCGTTACCCATAGAAATGGAAATATGTTATGGAAATATTAGAAAATATATAGACATTTTAAATCATTTTGGATTGGGTCCAACCCAAACTGGTCAATTGACACCCCAAATGCAGAGCAGATCTGCAGGGATGCCATTGTGTAAGGACCAAATGGATGTTGGGTGTTTGAATTGTAGAGAAGTAGGATTTATAATTGTAAGGACCAAATTGATGTTAGGGTTCTTCAACTTTGAATTGGCTTAAATATTTCATCATCATCTTACCCAAAGAATTAGCTATTCTTAAATTGCAACTGATCCATTGGTATAATTGAATACCAGAAGTCGATAAAACATCATATAGATATGCATCCGAGTAAAAAAGAAAAGTTGCAAGGAGCTAGAGATAAAAAATAGGCAAATGCTATGGCAAGGAACTGCTACCAATGTTGTGAGACCTGCCAGTCTGGAATGTCCCAGATATCTGATCAAAAAGCAAAATCCGTCTTCATCATTGCTCTTCCAGTGACTCTGCAACCATGGCTCTCTACGGAAAACAAACTTTCGACCAAAAATGAACACTCCTTCGCAACTATGCACTAAACATTTAGGTTTCAAACATGTCAAACGTATGACAGAATACACATTGAAATTTATGATGATATCCTTAATGAATGGCATAGAATCAAGTAAGTCTAATGTGACAGATAACTGGGGTCATTTTACTGGCTGCCATCATGTTGATTGTTGTGATCTTCAACAATAGATTACTGTGGTAACCTGCCAAAAGAACTGATGCCATATACTATAAAACAGGGTACAAAAAAAACTTTTTTGACTTGTATGAAAATTAATCTCATATCACAAATTAGTTGGTTATCCTCAGCTTGAATGCTGACAATATGATAGAAAGAGACATTCATGTCGTATTCCCCCCCACCCCCCCGCTATAAGTTTATAAATGGCATGTGAATGCAAGCCATTTGATGCTTTATAGATATAACAAAGGTTGGAATCAGTATTGTAAGACTTGGACCAGACTGGACTATAGGCCCAGTCAACCAGGGAAATAGAAAGCATTCCAATTTTTTAAAGTTTCAGTTTTCAAATTTTTGAAAATTGGAAAAACTAATCAAAGCTCAGCATAATGGTTGAAAACTGACCAGGTTTCAATGACCTAGTCGATTCTCACAACCTGCCCAGGTCACTAAATCAATAGAAGCCTTAAAACGTGAATAGGAATACTTGATCTCATGACCTTTTGGTCATGTATGTTGTTACCATACCATTCAATCCCTTTCGGTCCATATTGTCATTTGTGTTAATTTATATCTCTTATAAGACTTGAACTCTGGTTATTCACATCAAAATTAAGGAACGAAACATCTGGACACCATGTTCGGATGTGATATAAATTATAAAATAGATTATATATGTTATTTATGTGACTTGCAGTCAAACCATTTAACCAGTGACCTGACAAGGATTCTGGTTTTGTGTCTGGTCCAAGTCTCACAATGCTGATCAGAACTGCTACATATGTTTTGAAACACAGAGGCATGACGCAAGGCATTCCACTATCTGGAGGCATGAGGCGTAGTTCTTCACATAAGAGGTGTTCCCTTCCCTTCTCTTTCCTTTCCTTTTTTTTTCCTTTTCTTTTCTTTTTTTCTTTTCATATGATGTGTGCATGAGGGGTTGAGGCATATGCCACTAGCACACCTCATGCAAAAGGTGATTGAGGCATCAACACCTCTAGCATGCGCCTTAGAGTGTTTTGGGGGCACTTCCAGATTTATGCCTTCCACACCTTCTAAAACATTGACTGCTACATGAATAGTTGGATGGATTTCTAAAAGAAACCAAGGGCAAAAAGGGGGCTAATTATGGAATTTAAATAGGGATTTGTGGGTGAAGTTAAAACAGCACAACGCTGTGATCAAAACCACCATTGCCATTGCTCAATTAAGGTTGAAACAAGGTAGGCAAGTTATATTATCAAACAAGACATCCATGAAGTTAAAACAGCACAGTGCTGTGATCAAAACTACCATTGCCATTGCTCAATTAAGGTTGAAACAAGGTTAGCAAGTAATATCATTGAACAAGACATCCAATAGATTAAAAATGAATAGGCGTGCTCAGTTAGTATTTAAGGCTAACAAGTGAAAAGGGTTAGCTGAACCATGAATTATATGCAAAAAGAAGAATGAAAAATATTAAAGATAACCTTCACAGAAAACCGTTAAGGGACAGGCTGAAAGGAATGTGCATCAAAGACAAAAGAGGCATTTAAGCTTCCACTTGTTAAACTATGAAATAGGTGGAAAATTTTTCAACCAGTAAATTTCAGTTATATCTAGGAGCCATTGCATGGTGTAAGGGTAAAATCTAGGTCTGACAAGCATGAGAAAGCAGATTCAGGTCAGAGAGGTTAGGTCTGTATCCAGTCCACCCCTCCCAAGATCCTGAATGGCCAGGACAAACATTAGTTAATGGCCTTTTCTTTAATTTTCAGCAAATTTCTGCCTCTTTTACAGCCAACTTTGTTTTCTTTACCATTTGCATTGAAACAAGTGAAGCCTGAACTTATTTTGATACCAAAACAGCCCTATGGTTAATTCCTTTTCCTGCAACTAGCTTACATGCATCATGCACAATTATACAATCCATGCCCAGCAGTCTAGGCAACTACAAACTAGAAAAAGTAACATGTTAAATGGATACTATAGGAAAGTTAGATTCTTTATGCCATGAAATCACGTAGTCATATAATTTTCATTGTCAACCACTCATTAGAACTTCAAATTCAAACTACATGGAACATAAAGTTAGGGTTACAATACTGGATACAGCAAAATGTGTTAGTGTTGAGTACAACAGAGATACTTTTCTACCCGTATTATCATGTACCTGGAATCTAGTGGCTCAGCTTCCATTTAATGGGGTACCCATGTTTTGAGGGGAGTTGGTGCTAGATGTAGAACCATCCCTTGGCGTTGGCATTGGCTTTGGCTTCGACCTTGGAATAATAATAGGTCTACAGCAGACCAGAATGAAGATAAATTCCATCATGAATGATACTATACCGGTCCAGATGAATATTGTAATTTTCCAGTTCCAAATAACCCTTTTAAATAGAGGGAGCTCAGACTCAAGGACCAGAGATGCATGATAAAGTTCAGGTATACCAGAACCAGGTCTGTATTCTGCCCGTTGCTCAAGGACCACCCTTAAGCAGGAAGTCGGTTCATTTTTATCAGTAAAGCCTTTCATTTTCAAGTTCAAGGTTTGTGACTCTGATGCATAGCCAGCTACTAGGGGAACACTCTTAAGAAAGGTCTCAAGAAGGCGAATAGGCTGGCTTTTAAACTGCAGCATACATGGATAGCTTGAACTGGCTGTGACTTTACCATTTTCAGATATGAAGTCTACCCTGACCTTCAAGCACAAACAATAACAAGCAAGTTACTCAAGAAGAAGAAAATATAAATTAGAAAAAGAATTTAAAAAGTAATAAGCACAGGTTTACGCTAGCCATTGAAAGGCATGGGTTCTCAATTCATTTAATTCAGAAAGTAGATTCAGAACAACTCAAAATAATTCCATTCATCAAAAAAAAAAAAACAACTCAAAATAACTCAACAAAATAGGAAGATTCAAAACAATACCTTACCTTCTTTTGAAAAAAAAAAAAAAAACTCAAAATAGGAAGATGACCATAAATAAGCATGAAAGAAAAAAAATGAATAAAGAATGGAACCCTTCCATGCCTTTAAATGGAAATAGGTAATAAGAGAGGAAATCCCCTAAAAAATAACTTTCTAAGTAATTAGCAAAATTTCCAATTTCATTAGGAAAACACAATAGGATACCTAATATATTTGCACATGAGTCCGTGGGATTGATGAGCCTCCCCACTCCCTCCCTCTTTTCTCTTCCTTCCATTTATTTTATGTAACTATCATTTATCAGGCCAACCACCCTCACCCCCACAAAATGATTGGCAATATTTCAACAGTAAGACCATTTGATTCTCTGAGATATACATCTTTAACAGATATGCAGATATGTATTAATAAGAATAGGGAAAATCTATGATGCGGAAAAGACATGGTATCAGAAGAGTTTTGACCAATCAAAACCCACCCATGAGTTTTGATAAATAACACCTGATTGGCTACCACGTTTATGATTCCAGTTGACTGGTCAGAAGTTTTTCAGATATCATATCTTTCTGATATCATAGTCGAATTCATAAGAATAAGTGAGGGGGGTATCCTGCTTTGTTCCTAATCTTTGTTAGCTATGCTTTCTCTGCAGAACATACAAAACACTCAAGATATTAAAGAAGCAATGAAGAAAGATTGCTAAGACAACAGGTGGAGGTGTGGAGCCATGGGAAGAGTGTGGTATTGTTTGGTTTTTGTCCCTGTTTGAGTCTTGTTGTCTGGTTTCGATGGTTGGAAGTGTATTTCTCTTTCTCTAAGGCGATAATATCACCTTCCTTTTGTATCTTTTTCTTAATGAATTTCTTTTTATTATTCAAAAATTATATATATATATATATATATATTGCTAGGACAGCAAACTTTTCTCATTCTGGGGATTTGACAATTGAGCTTACCCAATCAAAAAGCACATTTTTCCCAGTAAAAATAATATATATGCAAGTATGGAACTATCAAAAAGATCAATAGTTAGGAAATGGATTAAATACAGCTGGGAATAAAGTTCTCAGTGGTTTTATGATGCAATACCCCATGAGAAAGTAAAGTGACCTAATCTGCAGATGAGCTAGTAACTAGTTACACCTTTCAAAGGTTAAGATTAAGTGTATTTCAGTGCTTAAAGTTTATCTCCACAACATGAAAGGATGTCATGTAATATTTTCACCTTTTGTGAAAAATATGTAAATGCGAAGGCAATTTGCTTTTCTTCTACTCCCAAAACTTATGTCCTTATTTTGCAAATTAAACAATATAGCTACACATCAAATCATTATATTCATCCCCAATCACATAAATTCATTTAAGTAATCAATAACCTTTTGACTGTAAAGAGCCTCAACTTTTTCAGACTCCAAAAAATCATTATTTAATCTTAAACGGTATCAAACCACTAGAATCTCCCTCTGCTAGACTCAAACACCAAATTGGTGGCAGATGGTTAGGGAGAAGAAATCTTAACTACGCAATCGCATGGCATCAGTTTAAATCAGTTGCTAAACATAACAAGATAAATTACAAATTTCAGAAAAGAATAAACAGAAAGCACTTTACATATTTACTCACAAGGTCATAATGCGGACCATTGTGAATTATCTAAAAACAAGGCCAGAAAAAGGTAACAAACTCCCGGAAGAGCTATAGCGAAACAATTACAACCATTAACATAACAAATTCCAATAAAAGCCACGAAATGAATCAATGGCATACCTGAAAGACGCCAAGTTTCCTGTTGTACTCAGACTCGGGCAGTGTTAACGAGATAGTGAGCTGATATCTATGATTGTGTGGAATAACAAATGATCCTCCATCATTCCCAACTCTAACCTTCTCGTAACAATTTACATCACAAGAGGCACCGGCACAAGAACTAATAGGCACAAAAGCAACTGGACTATCCTTGGTATAATCAAAATGCAACGTCTCTGTTATCTGAATTGGCTCTTCTACTAGGCTTTGCATCATAAAACCACTTATTACAAGTGCAAGTGCGAGAAGGCCAAGCAATATAAAATAAACATAAACTGACCAGAAAAATCCCCAACAGAAACTCATCGCCAACTTCCCAATGGATTGCTGCCCCTTCAACCATTCATATATAGAAGGACTAACACTCTCCCAGACAACACCCCACATTCTTAACGACTTCTCTATCAAATAACCCCTAATTCTCCTTAGAATTCCAAACGGATCGGTAACGAGCACGAAAAAGAAATAAGATAACCAGATAGGAAATCTAATGAATTTAATCAACAAACTGATTTGAAGCCCAATTGCTTTAATCACTAAACCGGCCAGAAAAACCAGAAAACTCGACGAGGACCCCGCCGAAGACTCGGCGGAATCTCCCAGACGAGACTCCGCTGTGGCCATCTCGTCGACATGCTCCTTATTTGCAGTACTAGTGGTAGAAGTAGAACTCTCTTGATCGTGCTCGTCTACTCTCTCGTTATTCGCAGGAGTAATGGAGGAATCCTCGTGATTCTGTTCATTCAAACTACCAATTCGAACCGAGCTCGACCGGATTCGCGGAGAACTGGATCCCTCACGGGCCTTCTCCGGATCCTTCAAAGACGATAATATTTTTTTTCTTCTCTCCCTTGGCGTGATTGCCTCTGAAACCTCGCTAATTTCTGAAGCAACGGGAGAGATACAGTCCGGTTCCTTTGCATACTCTCCAGATATTCCTTGACGATTATGTCGGAACGACGATGATCGCCGTCTGAGACCCTTCGGGAGGGGATTCTCTCGCGAAGACTTAGTTATGATTGTTTCATCAGCTCCTCTAAATGGTTCTGCAGTGTCGTTGCAATTATAAAAGGGGAAATCGTCGGAGGCGTCGAAGAAATCGTCGTAGTTCCAGTAGTCATCGACGATCTCCGTTTCGTCCATTTCGGGGTTGCTCTCCGGCAAGAGATCGATTGCTTCGGGTTAAGTTGTAGCCTCGTAGGATTGAAAAAAGGGAAATTTTCTTATATTATACGAAATGGCCCCTACTTTTGAACATTCGTTAAAAGTACTTTAGGCTCCGTTTAGAAAGAGTATACGTACACCCCCACCCCGTCCCCGCCCCGTACTCAATATACTTTTCCCCTTCCCATTTCATTTCATCTTTGGTGGCTGTCAAGTTCGGGAATAAGCATTTAGAGGTAATTCAAAAATACAATTATGGGATCTTAGTATTTTAAGAATTTATGGAAAACTTAGAAATATTTTAAATATTAATATTAAATCTAGAGATATTTTATTAATTTACCTACGGGTTCAGGGTAGGTTCAGGTAATTATATATAAAACCTGTCATCGATTAAAAAAAAAAAATATTTTCCCCATCCTCGCCCCGTTCATGTTTAGGGTCGGGGAAAACCCATCCCGTTTGGGGTGGGGTGGGGCCCCGGTTTTACGAGGGAAATTGCCATCCCTACTCTATATACAATATTTATACTTTTTCCAAACTGAGGTTAGGCTGTTTTTGGTTGCAATGCAAATAAAATTGCGCTAATGCAAAACCATGACAGTGTTGCAGTGCTTTTTTTTTTCGAAAAATTTTTTGACCTATTTTTGTTTCAAATTTTAGCTTATTTTGTTTGATTTCAGTATAAATGAAGTAAGTAAAGACATGGAGCAGAATAAAGTAAAATCCAAAACAAAATTAAACAAGAATTTGCATTTTTTACATTTAAACTCCCATGCATTTGTATTAGTGCAAATAAGTTTGGACTGCAACCAAACACAGCCTTAAGGTTTTTAACAGTCGACACCAATGGTAAATATTAACAGAAAATATGGAAAAGTCTATTTTATCTTTGATTATTCTTCAAATTTTTAAATCCATATTACTCTTTCTTTTCTATATTCCTTTTCTCTATTTTGCCTCCTCAAACCATTGCAATACAAGGGAAGGAAAATAAAAGATTTCTACCCTCATTGAAATGATTTAGTAATGTAATTTTTATATAGGACAAACACAACCTTCTTTTGATCTTAGAATAAATAAAAAAAGAAACAACAACTCTTGTTAAACCCAATTGATCTTGCCTCTCAAAGCTCTATCAAATGGCAAAATATTTTTTTTTATTTGGATTTTTAGCTTTGACAACCCTTGATCTTTGCAGAAAAAGTCAATTTCGACCATAAAGAATAAAAAACATCATTCTTGACCCTAGACTATGATGAAAAGGCCATTTATAAGAAAAACAAACAATGTTCGAAAACAACGTTGGTACATATGCTAAACAATGAATAAAATAATAAAAACATGCTTATGTGGTACTGCTAAAGTTTCAAAAAGGCCACTTTGGACCCTAAAGTTAAAAACATGCCACTTTAATAAAGTTAAGTAAACTACTTTAGGGTCTAATTAAATGACCCTAAGGTATTTAATTTACTTAGTTAAGTAAATTATATAAATTACCTTAATTAAGCAATTAAATAAGTAAATTAAATTAATTAAGAAAACAAAGTTAATTAAATAAAGCTAATCGATTCAAATAAGTAAAAGGCCAATTAAGTAAGGTTTTAAAAACTGCCCAAAATAGAATCTCTCTAGCCATCGGTTTCTAGGTCAATGGTTTGCTCATCCAGTCCAAATGGATCAACCCTTGATGTTTTGAAAAATAAAAAAATATAATATAATTAAAATAAACAATGACTTAAAAACCATTTATCGATGGCCAAAGTGGATCTATTTTGGATTATTTTTAAAACCTTGTTTAATTGACTTAATTTACTTATTTAGATTGATTATCTTTGTTTATTTAATTTAATTAGTGTATTTAATTAATTTAGTAAAGTAGATTATATGCTTTAGGGTCATTTAATCAGACCTTAAAGTTATTAACTTAATTAACTTTATTAAAGTGGTGTATTTTCAACCTTTAGGGTTGAAAGTGGCTTTTTTCAAAGTTTAGTATTGCCACATTAACATGCTTTTATTATTCCATTCATTATCTAATGGATCCATCGACATCATTTCAAATGTTGTTTGTTTTTGCCTCTGACCTTTTTAACAAAGTCTGAGGTTGAAACTGATCTTTTCTATTCTTTAGGGTTGAAATTGGCCTTTCGGCAAAGTTCAAAGGTTGTTAGAGCCAAAAATGTTTTCTTATTTTATGACTTTGGCAGTGAATTAGGTTTGCAATAATTCGGAAGGAGTACAAATATAAATATGTAGGGTGCAAAACCTTGTATTTTGTATGTATTTGCACCATACATATTTGTATTTGTACTCCTTCCAAACTGAACTTCTATGTCAATGAAATGATTCTTGTCATTTTAATTCGTTTCATTTGGAGAAAATGAAGGTATTTTTGGGTCAATTAGGGTTTAAGAGAAAAGGATGAGGAAAAATAAGGAAAGTTAAGGTAGGTATTTTGGTAATTTAATGCATTCCATTATTGTACTTAATGACTAAGGGGTATTTGTTGCAAAGTGAAAGTTATTGCAAATAAGGTAATTGTCACTAACCCCATAGTAGAGGGGTCTTTATTACAAATAAAAGTTCAAACAGGTAATTATCACTAACACCATAATATATGGGATCTCTGTAATTTGCCCCAAAAAAACGGAGAAGTATAGACAGGCCCATTGCAGATTCCTGAATCCCACTGCAATGCCCACTTGTGAATTGGCATCAATTCCGATCTGGCACCTACCCCAAATGTACTTTGGGCCTAAAAATTCCGACCCTGGGGTGAATCGTCATTCTCCCCAAAAAAATAGCCTTGCTATCAATGTAATAATTTTTAATTTTCTATTGGATTTTAGACGAGAGCGAGGAATATATGATGGGAGTAGTGAGGCAATCCGGGTCCTTCAGGTGTAAGGGGGTTTTCAGAGATGAGGGGGACTCTTGTTGAAGGTGATTCTAAGTTAGTTTTAAGCTGGTTATAGAAGGATAGTGAACCATGGAAATTTGGTACTGAGAGGAGGGAAATTAAACGACTAACCAGGGGCTGGAAATTCAGTTTCAATGGGTGAAGAGAACATCAAATGCATTTGTAGACACTTTGGTAAAGCAAGAGGTGGGAAAGGGATCAAATATTTTGGGCTGTATTGTAAATTTTTATTTTGTTCTCTGGGGGAGAGTGAAGTCTTTTTACCTCTCTCTTCTGTGCTGTAACTATTTCTCTAATTAATTTAATGTGAATTTGTAATTGATCAAAAACAAAAGAGAAGTTTTGCAAGAAGATTGGGCAACTGTTGTCGTATCATTGGGTTGGTAGAGAGGATAGTCGGAAGGAGTTGGTAGGTGCTCCAGTTGGATGGGTACTTGGAGAGCTTTTGACTCTGATAACTGAAGTACATTTATCTGATTAAAAAACGTTTACATGAAAAAATTCAGAAATACATGGTTGTACACTAGTACAAAAAATTGATTATAATTTATTGGAAACATCGTCCTCACCCATGCCGTATCCCAACTCTATGGGGTCAGTTACATAAATCCTGTTTCTCCCTTACATTCTGTTTAGTCATTGTTATGGCAGAAGTTTATCTGATTGTTATACTCAATTGGTATCAGACAGAAGTTCTGAACTTTTGATGCATCCCTCAAAATGGTCTCTACTATCTTCTTTGCCATGGAGAGACACAGAGGAATCCAACATCAATACGCTTTTTTGAACCTGACTTTCTTGAGATGTGATTGAGGTGTTTGATTGGCTATCGCGTGAGAGCTTCTCAAAAGCCTTAAACCTCATCCGTTCATTTTCTGAGCCTGGTTTGATTCGTGATGCTTGTACTGGCATTTTGCCTTCAAGCATATTCACCACATCAGACATAGCTGGCCTGAGAGAAGGAGATGGATTGGTGCATATGAGTGCCAAGTTCAGCATCCTCAATGCCTCTTCTTCAGAATAGTTTGATTCGAGGACAGGATCAACAAGCTTTAGGAGATTTCCCTGCCCTTGTAAAAGATAAGCCTGCAATTCAATGATCAAATATAACAGTCAAACCACATTTTTCTTCATCACATCAAAACTTTCCAATCATCAAAATACCAACACCAATTACACCACACTTATTTTCCTATCTAGTTCAAGAAAGATCACTTGTGTATCGGTGAAATTTCCTCTTAGGAGTATTTCAGAACAATAAATTATTGGCAATTATTTCCTGTAAAGCCACGAAATATATGCAAACTTGTTCCGAGACTAGGAAGACAAGAAACTTCTTTTGGAATGTTAGACCATTTAAAAAAAAAAGTTTAAATAACCAGCTAATTACATAAGGTTGGATCAACACAAAGACTTCTCTAGAAAAAGGATGGAAACATAATTGTCCAAATTGGCAAGACCCATCTATCAGTTGAGCAATTTCAACTCAGAGATAAGCTTACCTTCTATGCCAACTAAGTTATATGCATTGACAGGTAGATGTATGCATAGTCTATGACAGTTTGCAATTTTCTGAACCATCCAAACAAGCAGGTTTTGAGCTGTACTGGAGAGTGCAGACTTAACACCAAATCCTACCTTCACCAGGGTTGGGAGAGATTATGGATTTGGGGGATGAGCTACTCCCTGTTGTGTAGCCTCATGGAAACGAAAAAAAGAAAAAAAAAACAGGTTTTGAGTGGAAGAGTGCTTTATGATACAAATGAATTGCAATAATGCCTGGTTTACCCAATCAAGAAGTTGAATAAAATCCTCCTGTGGCTGAAAACTTGTATTGCTCTTTCCACCGACAATCTCTAACAAGACAACTCCAAAGCTGTAAACATCTGCCTTATCGGTCAAATAACCCCTCATTGCATATTCAGGAGCCATATATCCTCTACAGATGAAAAAAGAAAAAAAAAAGAGGAAAATATGTTATGTATGTAATTTGGGGCCTGATGATAAACAAATAAATATATGCCATATAAAAATGGGACTATGCTAGAAATGATGCAACTAAAGCATTTAACAAATGGGATTATCAGTGGGAGTAGCAGTATTCTTTTTCATTATGTTCTATCACAGTCACTCAAGAAAGGGTCCTAAGTTGTAGACTCCTTTAAGAAACTGTCTATCACCAGCAGATTGACAATTTTGAAAGACAAACATCCCTGCCTATTTAACTTCTATTGTTATAAAGGACATCTTTTGCCTTCACAATTAGTATGTCTTGTTTATTTCTCTATCAACCTTGCATTGCCTGTTTGAAGCCTGCATGTAGGAAGGTTGCATCAGGTTTATATCCATGCAGAAGTCCTTTTTTACATACTTTCCATGGATCCTCGTTTATGCTTCAAGCTCATGCTATGACATGAATGCTTAAAATGAAGACCTCAGCTAAAGTCAAATGGCAGACATTTTCTATAATTAACTCCGAGCAATAGGGATAAGACCTGGATGATGATCAATGTTACTCTATATAGAAAAGATTCAGGATTTTTTTTTTTGTAATTCCAGATCCAACCCATGCTGAGAAGAAATAAGTACGGAATAAAGTCTACTCACATAGTTCCAGCTACACGGGTGCTGATATGGGTGTTTTCCTCTTCATCAAGTTTAGCTAAGCCAAAGTCAGATATTTTAGCATTAAGATCCCTATCAAGGAGCACATTCGTCGCTTTTATGTCTCTGTGGACAATCTTCAGCCCTGACTCTTCGTGCATATAAGCTAGACCCCTTGCTATCCCCATGCAAATCTTACACCTTGTTGGCCAGTCCAAGTTCAGTCGTTGTTCCTCTCTTCCTACATGTAAACCAGTTCTTATCAACATTATGGTTATAACTTGTCTGGATCAACTGGAACCTAGCACTGCTAGTGGCAGAGAGGAATCATTTCTAAAGGCTAAAATAGAGTCAAAGAGATTTACCAAATAGAGCACGTGCAAGACTATTATTTTCCATGTATTCATAAATCAGTAATAGCTGGTTTCCTTCAATACAACACCCAAAAAGCTTCACGAGGTTTGGGTGTTGTAAAGCGGATATCATGCTTATCTCATTTATGAATTCACGGTTCCCTTGCTTTGACTTAGAGGAGAGCTGCTTGACAGCAATTACAGTGCCATCTGACAGTACACCCTAGGACACAAAGGTAAATTCTGGAATCATGATTCTGCAGAAAGATAAGCAAATGAAACATGTGAAAGTGAAAGAAAGAGAAGTATATATTTTTCACTTTTGATATACAAGCTTGGGTTCATTAACATCAAAGCTGCAAGACAAATCAACCCCAAGAACAAGACAGAATAATTGATGAAAGAGTTTGAAAAAAATTCCCAACCCAGAATTACCTTGTAAACTGGCCCAAAGCCACCTTCACCTATCTTATTTGCACGGTCAAAATTCCCAGTTGCAGCTTTGATTTGTTTTAAACTGAAATAACCTTTCTGAAGCTTAAGGTGTCTAAGTTCTGCAAAATCAGTGATAATTCTACTACAAGTTAAAAACATAATTTCATAAACAATTACTGATATAATTTCAGAAAATAATGCATTTTATTACTTCTCAATCTTCCATGACCCTTTCTTTTGATAAACTTTCCATGACCCATTATAAACAGATATCATGGTAACACTACAGTTTACCAATTCACTTTGCTTTTTCATGTTATTATGTTCATGATGCAAATTAATCCAGTACACTTAAACATTCAATCTATCATTCTACTGTGGACACACTTTTCAGTGCTAGATGTTCAGCATTACCCCCAAACTTCTGAATTGATTACACATCGAACAATCCATAAAATGTTACTTAGCATCACCTGAGTGGGTTTAAGTCCAAATGGGGATATAATATGGGTCTGCAACGGAAGTAACTATGTTCAATTCCTAGGATGATCCTTGAATTCTATAATTTTAGTAGTATAATCTGTTTTGTTTAGGTTTGATCTTACATTTTAGTCACTTTCTTGAGAAGACAGAAATTAGAAAATCCAGGAGAAGTCTGGAGTAAGTTTCTCATTTTGTTTCTAGAATTCTGGATTTTTTTTTTCCGCTTCATTAGTTGTTTGTATCACTTTCCATCTTGGTTTTATTGAGAGTAAGTTTTCTGTTTAGTATAACTCAAATTCAAGTAAGGTTTATATGTTCAATAGTTTCTATTAGCAGTCAGAAATCAATTTTAAACCCTCTCATGGTCTGGTTGTCCAGGCTCATTAGCTTACACAAGTAGCACAATATTGTGATGTAAAACAAGTGACTAGTCAGAAATCAATTTGGTGCATGAAGGATGCCTGGCATGGTGATTTCATGTTTAATGATGCCATATAAAGCCAACTTAAGATAGATGTGATAATTTATTCTTGTTCAACTATTGGTTTTATCCATCAACTTCCACTGTTCTTAAGTTTGTTCTTTAGATACTTGACTTTGATATTCTAATTTTAGTTATAAACTCTTATTTCTGAATTTACTTCCATGCTATTTTTATTGTTCCAGAAATCTGTATTCCCCGCTTCAATGCAATTCAACCGGCCTAATTTTTCAGCCAACAAAATTACTCGGACATTACTCTATTTCACCCACTAGCCTTTATACTCTCAAGTCCAGCAAAAAGACATCTTCACATTGGTTTGTCCCACATTATATTTCCTAATGTTATATCTGATTATAGGCATGTTATAAGCAGTGTTTAGGAAACCGGACCGGACTGGGTGATCAAACCGGTAGAACTGTGACCCAGGACCTTGGCCGATTTGGCCACACCCCAATAACAATATTTGCTAAAAACCCAGTAAAACCTGGTTGATCAGCAGATTTAACCGAAAAACCGGTGAACCAGTCCCGGTTTCATGGAATCGCCCGGATCATTAAGTAGTTGAAACTTTAAATTTTTAGAACATGTTTGACAAGACTTGAACCCATGACCTCTTATTTTCATATATTACTTAATTAACACTAGTCCACCTCTTTACTTGTGTTAATAACTCTTTATTGTATATATTACTTTATTACATACGTATTTTAAAGAAAATGTAAATTAAGAAACTTGAACCCTGGTCATTTGCTTAAATTAAGGAACTTGCCATCCATCCACCATATTTAAGTATACTAAAAGTTATAAAATATATAATATATAGTATTTATATAACCCATAATATATGTATGTATGTATGTCAGGTCATCAACCTCTCCCTTCTCCAGTTCTGTCCCCGGTCCGGTTCTCTAAACATTGGTTATAAGTACGCGTGTACAAGATATTGATCACCACAAGCATGGTAGACTATTATACCGGGATACCTGTAAGTAGGCATCATATCATATCAGGAACTTCAATTTTAGTTCAACTTTCCTATCTGACACCTTGCTTAGCTGTGTCCTTGATGTATATGGGTAACATGAATGACAATCATGACAAATAGAAAAATTTGAACAGTCATGAGAAAATGCTTCAAGGTATTGTGGTTGAGGAGGTTGCCTCCCTAATCAAAACTCTCAAATAAGTCTATGGTTTTACACATGAACTTGATTCTCAAGTCTAGTATTTTTTTAATTGGAAACAGTAACTTCATTAAGCAAATTAAGAAATGTCATGTACAACTGTCAGCCCCTGAAAAGGGTGCTAAACCCCAAAAATCCTTATTACAATTCTGCCCAGAATAGATTATCCCTTATTGTCCCCTGTTTAGTGAAGGTATCAGCTAGTCCATTAGCTGACCTTCTAGTCCACTTAAAAGAAGCCCCAATCTCCTTTGTTATGTTGGTAATCTCCCTTATGGCATGTCTATAAATCCAAGCTCCCAAACTACCCAATTTCAACCAATCAATGAGCATTTTAGAATCTCCTTCTATCTCTATTTGGTTTAGCCCCATCTGTTTGAAAAATCTCACACCTTGAAGCAAAGCCATTACCTCCATCCTCAAAGAGTCACCTACTCCTATAGGCCCTGAATACATAGCAGCAGTTTTACCATCTCCATCTCTGAATACTCCCCCAATTCCTGACAGTCCTGGGTTAACTCTAGAGCTCCCATCAAAGATTAGCTTCATTCTGTCTTGTGTTGGTGGGGACCATAGTTCCTGCACTTTAGGCCTAAATGAAGATGTAGCTGCAATCTCTGGCCCATTTTTTTACAAACTCTTTATTTTTTTTGCATCCATCATATCAGACCTTCTAATGGCATGCCTCAGGAAAATAAACCTCTATTGCCCTTGTGTCCCCCTATGATTTGCTTCTTTGTAGGGGAACATGTTTAGAAAAAACAATAAATGGCCTACCCTTTAGACAAAAAAGACTAGGGGCTAGTAGATTTCTCCCATGTATGCAAAGTGTGTTTGAAAGTGGGGATTGAACAGAAGACCTCCTACTACATTGTGGAAACAAAGAAGCCATGAGACCTTTTCTTGGGATTCTTTGGCCTTAGATGGATGGCCCCAGGTGAGATAGTGGATATGTTTTGTCAACTTAAAACACTAGATCTCTGATTGAGAAAGAAATGCCATTAAAAGACATGTCATTAAAAGAAAAGGATGAGTACAAGAAGACATGGTGAGGGATCACCCACAAAGACAAAACAAAAAGAAAGAAACAAAGATAACAATAACATCATCTCATCCCTGCATTATATAAATTAGAGAACAAAGAAAGAAAAATCCACATCTCATCCCCCCAATTCCAGCTCTAAGACTGACCAGAAACCAGTCCCAAAAGAACCTTTGCTAACTTCCTCATGGAGGATAGGGTTTCCTAGCATTCAAAGTTTGGTGGAGGAAGAATGACAGAGAAGAAAGAGGCAGAAAGCAGGGTGTTTGAAAGAGAATGAATGAGTACAGGAGTGAAGCTTGTAAGCTTGAAATGTGGGGAGAAGTGAAGCTACTAAGCTAGGGTAGTGATTCAACTATGGCTGATTCCGGCAAAGTTTTCTTCCCTGAAACTTCATTGATCATCCAAGTGTGATCAGAGCTATAGGAGATGTGTGTGGGGGTTTCAATGAGACTGATGATTCTCCTTCAAAGGTAGCAACATGTGAATGGGTCAGAACGAAGGTGCGCAGGGGAGACTCCATTCCGAACAAAGTGGAGATCGATGCGGGAGAAGCTCTGTTTTCAGTTCAAATATGGCCTGAGATTCTGCCGCCTGTGAGCCGATGGAAACGGGAGGATTGAGGAGGAGAGAAGTCCCACAGAGAGAGAATGAGAATTGGAGATTTCAAAAACCCTTGTTTTGGAGGATGTTGGAGAAAAGCTGCAACAGCAAACGAACCAGAATGATCGTCTTCCAGACTTCCGGTCACTGGCGACTTCTCCGGCTGTTGGCGAAGATGGGGAAGGAGATAGAGTTAGCTCTAATCCTAGCTGTCCGATCCTGGAGGACTTGGAGGGCCAGGATGGGTAGAGTAGGAAGAAGAGTGAAGGAGGCGTTCCATATTCTTGCCTTGGGATAAATGGGTGGAGCTTGGAAATTTTTAGGAGTTTCAATGGAGGGGATGCAGGAGGAAACAATTAAATATCTGGAGGGGATTGAATAGCGAATTATCTTAGAGAGAGGGAAGCTGACAACAAAGAAAGGAAGTAAGAATAAGAAGAGGAGTAGAGAGATGATGAGGTTTTTTGTTTTTCTTGTTCTCATCATGGATTTAAAATTTCTGTCTTGGAATGTAAGAGGGCTGGGGTCGGGAAGGAGGAGAGTTGTGGTGTGTGTTTCTCTGAAGTGGTCAGGTTCGAAGATTACCATGCTGCAAGAAACTAAATTGGATTACTTAGATGCTGCAATAGTAAGAAGTATTCAGGGGGAGGGATAGGTCAGATGGAAAGCTAAATTGGTTGTGGGAAGTGCAGGGGGGTTGTTGAGTCTTTGGGATCCTTCTATCTGCAGTTTAATTTCTGCTCATATTGGGAGATTCTCAGTCTCATTAATTTTTAAACCTCCTGATGGTAATATTTGTCAAGTCACAAACGTCTATGGTCCGACAGATGGAAATCTTCGGGAGGATTTTTGGAAAGAATTGGCTGAAGTGAGGGGTAGCCTATCTTATCCATGGGTCATTGGTGGAGACTTCAATGTCATTCTAGCTGCTGCAGAAAAAAACACTAGTGGTAGGAGGTCAAGAGGGATGCTTCAATTTGCTGATTTCATCAACAGATTTGAGCTTATTGACTTCCCTCTTCAGGGTAGCCGATTTACTTGGACTAACAATCAAGACACTCCCACCCTGGTGAGGTTGGACAGGTTTTTGGTGTCCTCGAATTGGGAAGAACTTTTTCCTGATTTTAGGCAGATTGCTCTCCCTAGGTCTGTCTCAGATCATTGCCCAATTCAGTTGGTCTGTGGATTTAGAGGAAAAATCATTGCCCAAGTTTGAGAATGCTTGGTTTGAAGATGAGAAGATTATTCCCTTGTTGAAGACTGTATGGAATGATTTGCAGGTGGCAGGTACTACCTCTTTCATTTTGGCAAACAAACTTGGTG